AAGGGTTCAAGGCCAGGCTGGACGGGGCTTTGAGCAACTTGGTCTAGTGGAAGGTGTCCCTGCCCGTGGCAGGGGGGTTGGAACTGGATGATATTTAAGGTCCCTTCCAACACAAACCATTCTGTGGTTCTATGATTCCATGATTATAAATGCTTCAGGGCAGGCAATGTGTGGTGTAATCTCTCTGCTCTGTATTGAGATACGCAATTACATATAGTTTGACTCCCTTTATTTGCTTAGAAACATTAACACAAAACAGACTGTGTGCCACTCAAGCACGTGTGGAAAAGCTGAGTGAAGGATCTGAACAGGAAAGAGTGTACTGCAGATTATGTTCTGAGATAGAGAAGTGATAATCATTGTGTACTTACTGAAGAGGCAAAAAAAAAAGAGTCGTTCCCAAGATCTTTATAAGGTATTAACGTGAAAGTAGTATGGAGCAAATAGCTTCTGTGGTAGTGTGTGATGTGGTTCCTACCTCTGTTCCTATTTGGAGCCTCAGTGAGCCTGTTATTGTGCTTAAAATGTTGTAGAGCCTGAAGCATCTCACTGATTCAGACCCTAGGAAACCTTATAACCATGGTGACAGGATTGAGAAACCAAGTAGCCTGTTGTCTCACTATCCACCTCAGTGTGACTTTGCTGTATGATGTAAATCTGATTTTGCTTAGCATTCGGTAGAAGCAAGGTATATTCTCTGCCACAGCAAATGGCCGTGAGTAGTAGATTCCCTTGTTACAAATATAATAGCCTTGAACATGTTCCTGTAGCATTTTAATTAGATGGCAACTGTTAAGGTCACACAGTGCATTTGGATGGGCGACAGCTGTGTTGTTATAGAGATGTATCTTCCAGGTTACTATAGGAAAAATGTCACAGGCAGTTGTAACTGGGTCCATGTTAAATAGCTTCTGGTGTAGTAGTTTGAGTAAAATTTGTAATACAACTGAAAAACTTTAGCAAGATACAACACCCCTGGGAAGCTTTAACTTAGACTGTAAGTGCTAGGTCAAATCTTGACCTTGTTGAAGTCATTGAGACATTTCTTCCATAATATTAATCTTCTGTTTAAATTATCATTTTGGTTTTACCTTCAGCACCAAATACAATACAGTTTTGAAGTATCGTAAAGCTAATATTAAAATATTTTCAATATTTAAAATTTAATTTTGAAATGCTGGCCAGGGATAGAAATTAGTAATTTTTGCCTCTTGAAGGACATTAAGAACACAGAAGATGACATCTTCCCATAGCACCGCAGAATAATTTTTAGTTCAGTGTCCCTGTTGATGGTAGATGTTTAACAGGAACCTAAAATTCACCCAGTGAGCCAAACAGCACAGAGCAGTAGCACCGTGGGCTATGCCAATCCTCCTGACCCCAGCTGGATGATCAGCTTGCCTATGCAGCTATGAGAACTTGGAGCCTTTCTTCAGCTTGTCTTAACAGTGCACAGGCAGTTGAGGTCAATGGCTCTTCTGTTGTTTTTGTTAATTTTTAACTTAGCCGTTTGTCTCAAATGCATGACTTGACAGTCCCACTTGAGAATTTGACTTGATGTAAAAAGGAGACCTGGATCAAAACTAGAAAAGTTATGTATGCAAATAGTAACAGCAAAAGCAGTATGCTTCAGAATGTGATAGTTGAACTAGAAAGAAATGTGTGCCTTTTCATGTGTTTAAATCTTAACTGCATCCTAATACCAGAGTAAAATAGCTACTGTATCTCTTTCCATTAACAGCCTTTTGAGTTTTCCTGACTCTTGCTGCCATGATTATACACAACTTGTATTCCTTTTTGCTTTTGAGATCTTCTTCATCTGTGGGGAAGGACAGCAAGTGGGAACTGATCTAGACTCAGGATGTAGAAGGCCAGCTCGAAGGGCTCTACACATATAATACATATATACATATAAATGGTTCAGATTGAAGCAGGTGGTGCTGTTCCTGACAACTAATAGCACTATTTTCAGTCTGAATGATTGCATATGGCCCAGACAGAATCTCTTTAACATACCAGCCCAGGCCCTTTAGGTGCCCTCTTTTGCTTTGTGCTGGCTTCCCACATTCACAGTCCAGACCTGAGGGGGTAGCAGATGACTTTGGGCTGATGCTCGATGTCCTGTGAAGATGGGCAAGGAGCAGTTCGGGAGTTTGGTGCTGGCTCTCCATGCAATGGAGAAAGCCAACAAGTCAGCAAAGGTGACAAAATGATCTGTCAGGTGGATCTTTGTTGCAGTTCACTTCTTTCCGGGATCTTGCACTGTCTCAGCTTGCAGTATTTGTCCTACATCAGTCAAACTGAGTGAGAGTGGTGGAACCTGAGTGGGTTTGGGGCAAGAAACCTTTGGGGCAAGAATTTTCCCATGCAGAAATCCTATCAAACAGCTACCAAACGTGCCTTTGCTGTGCTTTCATTTCCAAGGGCAGAAATATTCTTGGCTAAAGGAAGTTATGGCTTTAAGGAAGTAGAAGCTAGCCTGGTGAGTGAACTAACACTGAACAAGGCAGTGTTCAAATGCTTAGTTATTATTTGAGGAAAAGATGGCAAATAAATATCCATTATTTCATGTAATTGAATGACTGGTTTCTGTTTGGGAATTAAGAAACAATACCATTTCCCTTCTACAGTCCCTCTTTTGTAGGCCATAAACTTTATTATCATATCCCTAGAAAGAGACTGCTCAAGATGCACTAGCATCAATCAGTCTGTTGATTAATTATGAAGGAAGGTGGTAAAATGTGCTGAGCTTTGCCTGGTGATCCTTTTAGGGGCCTGAGAAGTATAACCTGAAGTACATGAGAATTATATCCTGAAGCTGCTGATAATTAATGTGGCTTCACTCCCTATTCACATGTCAGGTACCAGACTTTTTATTATTTCAAATGTGGGGGATATGATTTTTGTTTGCCTTTATTTCTAGCCAGGAGAGAGAACAGCTGTGTTATCCGCAATTCTGATCTCAGGTCTCTGATAAGTATTTCTGTTTTGAAAGCAAATTTTGACAACAGCAAACAAGAGGAAAATGGGCTTTTGAGTGTGGTACGACCTCAGGTCTCAATTTATTAAGAGCTCGTTTTTTGCCACTCACTTTTAAAAATCTCAGTTCAGGGCTGATTCTCAGTGCATCTGAGATGAAAGCAGAGGATAGAGTGCTGAGTGTTACATTGTTGTTTGGTTGGCTGGTTGGTTTTTCCACAAATCTCAGTTTAACTCTTAGCTGTGCTTTGTTATCCAGGTTTTCCTTACCAAAAAATCTTAGTTGGTAACTTCCTTAATACGTGATCTGTTCACATCTTTATGTTCCAGACTACTGTTGGAATCTGTAGTAGTACCTCCAGTGGGATTTTTTAAAATGGAACTTTTCTAACAATGTAACTTACATGCCATGCACAGTACCAAAAAATCTGTAACGAGTTAAATGAAAATTTACCCTTTGACTTCAGTGGAAATGGGACTTGTCCTTAAACCTGCATCAACAGTAGCTCAGTTGTAATGCTTATTATCCAGGAGTTTAAATGAGAGGTTATATCCATTGTAGCTGTGTGTTTTCTGATTATCAAGCTGTTAGTGAGAAAAAGGTAATTGGGAACCGGTGGTACCAATTACCTTTTAAACTTCACAAACAAAGAGCAAGACCCTGTACAGCCCTGGTGTACCATAATTAGGGAGCCGTCTCCAGACTCCTGACTGCATTTCTTATAGACCTTTGCCAAAGGAAAACAGGGTGCTGACAAACTGCTTCATGCCTCAGGGAATCTGACTGAAATGCTGCTTCCCAGGGCGGCCCACTTTCAGAGCACAAGAAGTTGCTGGGATGTGTTTTCTCATTGCGTGCTCCTCTGACCGCTACAACATGTGTGTTTTGAGGTGTTGAGTAGTCAGTGAAACGTATGTGGTCAACATTTACTTATACTTTTGTCTTTTGTAATTGAAAACTCCACTGTAAGTAAAAGCAATTCTCAGGCTGGTCCTGTTGAGCTGCTTCCCAGCCATAAGAATTGATAGTGGAAGGCACGCTTGAACATTGAGGTCTGTTGAAGCCAAAGAAGGATCTATAGGTAGGCAAACTGGAGTCAGTGCACGTGACGGAGAGTTGCCTGGAGTATTTCACAGATACGCATTTGTAGATATTTTTCACTAGTGGGGCTGCCAGGAGTTTTGAGACTGCCTTTGGTATTTCTCCTCCGGTGCTGGCACTTTTCATCAGCAACTGTAAGTTTGTGAGTGGGACATGAAAGAATTTGGAGTGAACGTAAAGCCAGTCTCAAAAGGAGAGGGTAAGTGTAGAAGAGAAAACTGGAGAGCCAGTGTCGTAGAGGCAACAGGTTGGGGTTAGACAAAGTCTGCTTGGCAGCATCAGTAGGAGAGTTGTGCATGCAGCTCTTCAGCTGTTGTAAAATCATTTCACTTGGGGTTTGGCAGGCTGATTAGGTCTAACAAGCCTTGATTTGAAGACAGCTGTTTCGAATCACGGTAGATACGCACCAGGAGAGAACAGCCCTTGTGAAATCTGTACCCTGCCAAGAGTTTGTGTTGAGCAGAGAGGCAGTGCTCTGTTCTGGGGTGAGTTGTGGGGCTCCGGTCTCAGCGAGGACAGACCCTGGGGTGCGAGAAGATGCCTGGGGGGGGGGGGGGGGGGGGCTGGGGGTCAGCTCTGGAGAGCAATGGCTGCAGGATTTCTGTCGCAGCTTGGCGGTGTGCCCAACAGTCACGCTGGGACCTCCCCCAAAAACAGGGGCAAGCATGCAGGACAAACGCTGATCAATAATGGCCCGAGCTGGGCTCCGGTATTTACCTCTCTGCGGAGGGGAACGGGCTGGGGACCCCGGCTTGTCCCTGCCTGCCTGGGACCGGACACCGGCACCGAACGCCCCACTTAATAACCCCCGGGCCGGGCCGGGCTCCGGCTTCGCCCACAGCCCCCGCACGACGGGGAGAAGCGGGGGCGGGCCCCGCCGCCCCTCCCGGCTTCCCGTGACGGGCGGCGAGCGGGGCGGGCAGCGGTCTTTCCTCCCGCCTCGGCTCCGCGGCGAAGCAGCGGGCTGTCCCCGCCTCGGAGGCCCCGGGCCCGGCCCGGGGGGCGCAGGTGAGGGGAGCCCGGGGGAGCTGCGGCCTCCCCGGGCCGGCGCCGGGCGGGGGCCCCCGCGGGCGGGCCCGGTTTCTGAGGAGCGAGGCCCGGGCACCTGGTCCCTTGCGCAGCCTTGGCGGGGGGGGGGGGGGGGGAGGGTAGGGACACCTTCTTCCCTCCTGGGTGGGTTTTCGGTCCTCCCGGTTCCTCCCTCCGTTCCTGCCAGTGGCAGACCCCTTCGAAGAGCCTGCGAGGTGCCCAGTAGTAAACATAGAGCATGCCCTGTGTCTGCTTTTTGTCGCGTTACTTATTGGCCACATCTTGGAGGCATAAGGTTTTATGTTTTCTGTTAGAAATAACTCCTGGAATGTTGAATATCAGTCTTCGTTCCAGCTATGTTCTTTGCCATGACTTCCCTGTACTAGTAAGCCAGTGAAGGGCACCGTGTGGAAACGGGGATCTGTCAGATCTGACTGCTTGTTCCATTGTATATGGATGATTTACTGTACATATACAGTGGGAAGGCAGAAGTTTCTAATGTTTTCACTCTGTTGTAGTTGTTATATTATGAACTTGAATCATCATCTTTTTATACACTAAGACTGTTCTGTTCCTGGGTACAATCTGAAAAATAGGTTTTTCTGTGCCCCGGGGGCAGTCACCCTATCCTTTTGCAAAGGTCATTTTAAAATGCCTGTGATACCCTTTTTTTTTTTTTAAATGCGGTGACTGCCACTGCATTTACTAGCAGATGCTGCCACCATGTTGTGAGTGATTACATATTTCCTATAATCTCTGGTTTTACTATATATGTCATGATATTTACTTTAGGTTGGTTGTTGTTTTGTTTTTTGATTTTTTGATTGTTTGTTTTGGTTTTTTTTGTTTGCTTGTTTTTGTTTTGTTTTTTTTGTTTGTTTGTTTTTTTGTTTGTTTGGGTTTTGTTTTGGTTTGGTTTTGGTTTTTTTTTTTTAAGTTTGGTTGCATACTGAGCTAAGATCTTTGGTTAAGCCATATGCAGTGACACATAGTCCCTCTTCACAGTTACTTGATTCGGTACCATGATGTGCAATTTGTTTAAATTATCTCATGCAGTACAGATTTACCTTTAGTTCTGACATACTACCCTGTTATCGAGATGAAGCACCACCTGTCAAAATGCATCTAGGAAAATTGGGGCAAAATAAAAATACTATGCAAAGGCACAATAAGCAAGACAGGGTTGAGAAGAAAGACTGTTTTAAGGAAAACTAGATAAGCAATGTGAGCTACCCTGTCAAATATTTTGGTTCTAACCAATTGAAGGCTGCAAACCAGAACAGAATTGTGCATTTGCTAAAAGTATGGTTATACTAGCCAATAAAAGAAAATTGCGGAAGGTTTGCAATTTATTTCTTGTTGTCTGATCAGTGTACCTTTGTCAGGGGCATGTTCTTGCACGATTCCAATGAAATGGAAGAGTTTAAATTAAGAGACTATTTTGAGCCACATCACTTTGGGTTCAACCTGAAAGAGTTGTACTTCATTCATGAGGTAGACCAGCAGCTACTTAGGGCCTACAGATGACTGATCACAATAGCAGCACGTTTGCCTGGTTATCACACCAGTACTTCTACAAAACTTATTAAAATAGCTTATTGATTAGGCAAAAATTAGAGTCCGAGGTAACAATTTTCTGCTTCATCTAAGGCAGGTATTTCCTGTGCTGTGGTCTTTTCCAATAGCAGAATACAATTAACAGGATTCATCAAGAGCCTGGGCAGGGGTTTTGGGAAAAGCTCTGTGTAGTGCTAAGGCCCAGACAGTACAGCCCTAAGCTCATTCATTCTTTCCTGGTGGAGGTCTCCTTAGGATTGAACTAAACCAAACCGTAACCTGACACTGTTGTGGCCCACAAATGAGATAAGCAAGCATTGCTCCCCAAGACTAGTTCTGGGATACAGTGGTTTAGTGAATGTTAAACACTGGGCTCCCAAAAGCAATGTGTTAGCTTTTTCTCCCCTCCACTTGTGCGTTTAATATAGTCTGACCTAGGCAGGAGGCACTTCTTTCTTGCTCCTCTTAAAATGATACAATAAAATATGCCAAAGATAGTGTCCAGGGAAGAAGGTGGGTCACTGCAAATCTACTTAAGGCTGCTAGTTGCAACAAGTTCTTCGAGCACAGGTGTTCTGTCAGAGTCCAAGGTTTTTGTTTTTTTTTTTTTTTCCCCCCTCCCTTCTTGGTCACTTTTCATGAGTAGACAATGGAAAAGGATAATTCCCCATAAAAGGTAATTGTTCCTGGACAGCAACAGCTGCTGCTAAACTCACAAATGTGAGCCAGTTTTAAATGATTAAGAGAGCTGCAGGAACAGTGCCAGCTGCCTGCTTTTGGTAGGAGTAAATTAGGTTTAATTCTGTGCTGCCCTGAATCAGCAAAAGACAGCAAGGTTGGTCAAACTTCTGGAGCGATGTTTGCATGAGGAAGGACAGTAAGGTAGGACTTACCATTCTGGGAAAGAGTTCAGACAGACATTCAGGCAGAGAGGTAGAACAGAAATTTACAAAATAGTATAGAAAAGGTTAATAGAGCTAAGTCTTTCTGAAAACGTCTTTTCCTAACTTCGATATCCCTGGTTTTGTACTGGAAGAAACAAATAAAATGAGGTAATTCTTCATGCAAGAAGCAGGCCAGTGCAACTCCTCGCTAGGGTCCTGCCAGGGTCCGCAGATACAAAGTTTACAAGGGTTAGAAGGGAAATGGGACAAGTACTAGGATTAGAGATCTGTTGAGGATTAAATAAAGCATATCAGGCTCAGGAAACCTGAAATTTCAGACAGTATTTCAGTCGAGCAGCCTATATGCTCATTCTGTTGATGTCCTTTCCTGGGCATCTCTTTGTTACAGACATGATTGGAGACAGTTTATTAGCTAGCAAGATCTCTGTTCTGATTAGTATGACTGTTCCTTTATGGTCATAACCCTTAAAGTTTTTTTTCCAAAACCTTTAACACATGTTTAATAATCACATATCCTTTAGGCCAACCAGATATGCACCCACTCTTTAAATTAGTCTGTGTACTCAATAATTATTCCTCCATGGGGAAGTGACCCAACTTTTTTTTTGCTTCTAACAATTTTCTTGCTTCAGCAGTAGAGTATAAGCTTTTCTCCTTCCTGCTGTTTGTTTTATCTTCATTAGTCTGTGTTGTGGTTTGAGCCTGGTTGGCAGCCAAACACCGCACAACCACTTTCTCCTCCTTCTCTTCCGGCAATGAGAAGGGACAGATGAGCCAGGCTTGGGGTTTGAGATAGGACCGGCAGGGGCAGATCACCCGTTATGGTCACGAGAAAAAGACAGTCTCATTAGGGGAAGAAAAAAGAACATACATTTATTACTGTCGTGGTTTGAGCCTGGTCAGCAGCCAACCACCACGCAGCGACTCTCCCTTCTTTTCCGGCAATAAGAAGGGACGGAGAGCCAAGCTTGGGGTTTGAGATAAGACTGGGATGAGGAAAAAAACCACCCTTTATGGTCACAAGCAAAAAGCAGACTCGTTAGGGGAAGAAAAAAAAAGAACATATGTTTATTACAGACACTAACAACACATAACAGAGTAGCACAGTGAGAAGCATTGCCACATCTTGAGAACACCTTCCCCCCACCCCTCCCTTCTTCCCGGGCTCAGCTCTGCTCCCGATATCTCTACCTCCTCCCCCAGTGGCGCAGGGGCAGGGAATGGGGGGTGCAGTCAGTGCTGCTTCCATCTTCAGTGGGGGGAGCTTCTGGAACTTCTCCCCCTCTTGCTCCATTGTGGTCCCCCTCTCACAGGAGACAGTCCTCCACAAACTTTCTCCAACATGAGTTCCTCCCGTGGGCAGCAGCGTTCCCCACACTGCTCTGTCATGGGTCACCAACTTTCTCCAACTGGAGTCCCTCCCACGGCTGCAGCCCTTCCTGAGCTGCTCCGGCGTGGGACTCCCCTGCATGCTGCAATCCTCCCAGCGCTGAATTACAGCAGCGGGGCTACCTTTTCCCACAAGACCCCGGCCTTCTTTGGGCACAGCACCTTGATCAACTAGGTGGAAGCCACAGGCCATAAATCAGTGTCTGCTCCACCATAGATCTCCATGGGTGGCAGGGGGGGGCCTCCCTGCCGTCTCACCACAGGATACAGGGGGGGTCTCTGCTCCGGCACACCTCCCCCCTCCTTTCTTCCTCCGTTCCTCCACTGACCTTGGTGTTCACGCAGCTGCAGCAACTCCTCCTCACCAGTCCGACTCCTTACCACGTCCCTTCTTAAATATGTTATTGCAGAGGCGCAGCTGATTGGCTCAATTTTGGTGCAGAGGTGGAGCTGACTTGGAGCTGGGGGAGCTTTGAGAAGCTTCTCACAGGGGGCTGCCCCTATAGCTCCCTCCCCAGCTACCAAAAAACCCCACCACTCACTCAAACCCAGGACAGTCTGATAGGAGCTTACACATCTCTTCAACTCGCGAAGAAGTGGTAGCCATCAGATATTTTGCTTTGTATCCACCAACTTACCTACCTCTTCTCTTTGCCCTTTACTCCTCTGACTTTCAGGACTGGAAATGAAGCAGTTGACTATGTTTACTGTAGTTGTGTATCTCAAATTCAGCTGCTTTGTTAAATACTAAATTCACTACTTAGCATTCCATGAATTATTTTTTTCTTCTTGTTGGGGAAAGAAATAAAACATAAAATATATTTTTTCACCTAGGTCTCTGGACAAAATGGGGAATGGATTAGTGAAACCCAAGCATCTGAGGCAGCCGAACAGACATGTAGCAAACCTGTCTATTGGCTGTACTGGCAACCATAAGTTTTTGAAGGACCCACATCTAGGCATCAATGTGATCAGTGGGCAAGCTGATGTACTTTGCAGCACTGTGCTTGAACTGGAAAAGGAACTGAAGAGAAAAGATCAGGAGTTGCAGGAGGGCCAAAATCATGTTGTTGAGCTTCAGGAACAACTAGCTATGCAGACTAAGGTCATAGCAGAACTCACCAAGGAACTTCAGAGCAAGTGTATACAGTTGAGCAAGCTGCAGGATGTTGTTCGCACTCAAGGAGAACACTTTCTTCAGCCTTCTCCATTTAAAGTGCCTTCAAGGATTCAAGACGCTGCTGATAGGAGGAGAGGAGCCAAGGAAGGTGTATCTGCAGAGCCAACAACACGGCTGTATGATCTGAACAGGCAAGCTATGTTTTCCTTTGAAAAAGCAAGAGTTCGAAAGGATTCCAGGTGAGCTCATTTAAAGGGGATTATATGCTTGTGTTACAAGGATATTACTTTTATCTCAACGATAGCCTCTCCTCATGATAAATCAAGATTAAAGTATCTGTCTTTTTTATAGAGGCTTTGTCATTGTGGCAGTTAGATGCTGGTTGAGTTTGTATGGAACTTTAACCAAGAATCAGCTGTGTCCCACAGACTTCAGATGAAGAATGGTGGGTAGCCTCTGTGTTTTAGTTGAGGAGACTCTTATAGTCTCTTTGGGATTTATCTTTACAGCCAGCTAAGCAGAACCTACGCCTCTTCTCAGCTCTAGGTTTGCCTAGTGCTTGCAGCTTAAGCTATACTCTGGAGCACTGATGAGCAGAAGGCTGGATGCCTTCCCATGGGTTCAGATTTTGTATTCCTGTAGCATGGAAGGCTTGGGAAGGAGCACGTGGCCCCAGCTCAGCTCTCCCAAATGCAGTATGGACACTAGTTCTGAGCTATGTACAAAGTTTGTCAGCCCAGTTTCTGGTGCAAAATGTAATGAAATGTTTTGTATGGTGTGATTATCCTCTCAGCAGCTTCCTCCTGCCCTCCAGCTTCTGAAAGTCATGGTGTAGGAACCTAATTTTACTTGTTCCTCTTTGAATCCAATTATACTTCTAGCTTCTGCAAGAGCCAGAAATATCTGTGGTCGCAGCTGATCTTGTAGACAGAGGTACCAGACTGGTATCCTTAAACATACCTTAGACCCTCCTTTATCTTTCAGTGTAGACATAACCTGAGTATCTGTTTTAACATGGTAGTAGCCAGAATCTATCCAGACTTCAGTGAGCAGCTTAAGTGCCTCAGATTTGTGGGGAGATTTATTATTCTGTTAAGAATTCATGATGCATTTGAGTCTGTAATGTAGTAGACCTGAGAGTTATCATACTTGATTCCTCATCCATCATGTCCAGCATTGCACATTAGAGGCTGTCTTGTGAACCAGAAAGGCTGCCTGAGTCACTATAAGGAGCTGAAATCTTCAGCTAGCAGTCTTTTTTTCAGAGTAAGGGAACTGTATTAACATTTATCACAAGTACCTGGGCAGTTTAAATACTTGTTTGTTTTAGGAGTCTTCTATTTGTAATTACCTGTCTTCTACTTGGCACGATTCTTGTACTGCAGTCCCCCACGTGGTTTTCTAGGGTGCTTTCAGAGACAGAATTGTAACAGCATGGAGGATTGAAGCAAAAGGAGCCAATTGATGCAGCACAGACTTTGCCGTTCAGAACAAAACCAAATATTGCAGCTTAAGTAATCTAAATGTAATGCTCATCATGCGATAGAGACAGAGCTGTAACTTTTCCTTCCCAATTCAGTGTCTTATCACTTCTAAAAACATTTTCTTTTTTATTGTATGCCATCTCTGTTTTCTTGTTATTCTAAAAGATTTAGTGTAACACAGCAGGATAAAGGAGCAGTTCTCTTTCTTTTCCCTCCTTCTCTCTCTTACAATCTGGTTCGGAGATTGCCATTGCTACTGCTAAGGCTCCCATAGATCCATAACATTTTAGAATACACCATTCCTAGATTTATTCTTGGTTCTCTGTTTTTTTGTGTCCTTCCAGAGCATGCTGTCACCATCAGCAGCATTTAAGGTGCCTCTATCTAGTCCCTTCCCATTATGGGCTCAGGATCATGACCTGGTTCTGTTATCAGCCATTACTGGTTGGCCGAGAACTATCTTGACACTTGACATTGATGTCTTTTACCAGTCAATGCCAGCAGATAACCAAAAATCTCTCATTAGTAGCAGAAAGGTATATTAAGAGAAAGCACTGCTCTGCGAAGTATATGTTGTACCTGTGAGATGACATCTATCTTATGATGGGAATAAATTCCCAATCCTGTTCACAAAAAGCCCTTCTTAGAGTGTCAAGTGCTATTTTTAGGGGTTGACTGGGAATGTATTGAAAAGGGCAGGGGGAACATTTCCACCTGAGCTATCAGCAGGGACGAGAACAAAGCCTGAAGAAGGATGCTGTGGCAAAGCTGGCCTCAGGCCATGCAGAAAAGTCATACTAGTGGCTGGAGCAAGAAATACCTCACCACCAGAACAGTTGTGTGGAGCTGTGCACCTACTTTTTAGCCTTTTAGTAGTATTCACCAGGACAGCAACTGATGCAATTACAGGATTAGAAGTCTCATGTCCTTTCAGGATATCTAGTTATTTCCAACAGCAGTTCTCAAATGTGATGCAGGTATGGGAGAAGCTGAGGAAAACAACAGAGAGAAAGCTTTAGATATTGTGCTGGATGCCCATGAAATGAGGAGACAGCTGATTCAAGAGACTGTGCCATGGTTATGACACTCATGTGCCCTTTGCTCTGCGGCAAACTGCACTTTATGAAAACAGCATACTCTCCTATTCTGTAGTTCTAGAAGCTTTAGAGCTCATTTTAAGTATCAGTTTATGAGCCATTACTGTATTTTATTGCAATATTGTATGCATGATGCAGGCCAGGGTGAATTAAATAAGCAAGGTTGTTTTTAGCAGAAAACTAAGTTAAACCTTATATTCTAATAAGTCTGCTCCCTTCAGCAGAAGCTAAGTTATGATCTCTATTTCTAAACATAATCCTCACCATAGCTACTTGATTTTATTTTTCTTACCCCATCTTATTACCTTTACTTATTTTCAGTCATTATATGGCTAGCAGCATTGTAGGTCTACGTACTTGCCTTAACTGTTCATTCCTGGATTTTCCTCAGGAGATTTTTTTCCACATAACCCAGTTTTGATGATAATTTTGCATTGTTTTATGAATACAAGCAAGAGCTGACCTTAAATACCTCAGAAAGCTTTTAGTGTGTTTATTTTGTTATACAGCTTCCTTACACATATGTTAGGAACACAGGGACTCAGAGGCAGAATTTGTCTTTTACTTCAGCAATAAAGGAAGATTTCTCAGTAGGTCCATCAAAGCTCCATCAGTGCAGCAGTTGCTTAATTTCTTTCATTTCTGGCATGAATTCAAGGCACTACTTTATAGGAAGCCCTTGACCCAGAACATACAAAAGTCAATCAGAACTCATAGTTTGCTCAATCTATATGTATAGCCACTGTGTCTCAGCTCGTTAGTCATTATTAGTGGCTTCGCTCACTCTTGATTTTTTTTTTTTTTTCCACATTTTCTTCTTAAAATCCAACTGCTGGACTCTTCCACCAGCAGCTCAAATAGACTGTTCCTGTCGTTACAACTCATTAATGTAGCTGGAAACAATGCAGAGGCTCTGTCGCAAGGAGCAGCAAGAACAGGGCTGCTCCATAAAAGTAAGTGAACCAGGGGTGACTACAGCACAGACAATGTCCTTACTAACCAGGGCACCATCCCACAAGGTCTGGACAGGGCAGGCATAGCAGGGTGGTGATAACAGGGACCACCAGGAGTCCTATGGAAGAAGAGAGCAATGAGATGCAAGCTTTAAGCAAGAGGCAGAAGCGAAGTACTGATAATATTGGGCCAATACACATCTAGAAGACAAAACCAGAATCAACTATTTCTGTAATGTAGCTCAGGCAAGAACTGAATGCCCAGACCTGAGCTTAAATAGAGTATGCAATGGGCAGAGGATGTATGGGTGGTGGCCCCAGGTGAGGCTGATCGGTGTAGTTAAGGCCTCATACTGCCCTCAGGACCCTGACCAGGCTAGTCCTTGATCACTGATGTGCCTGCTTTACTTGCCCTTTTTCTTTTACAGATACCCTGAAGCTTTTCCAAAGACTTTTTAACAAAACAACTTGTGATGGCTATAGTTTGCTATAGCATCACCAAAGTGTGATAGAATGTATGTGTATTTCTCTGAATGCTGAATTTCAGAAAGCAAAGAGGTCAACACTAATGGCTGCATACCTACAACCACAAGGCCTCGTATTATATTTTCACTTCTGATTATACCCTAAAAATTCCTAAAAGTAGTAGAAGAAAGGGCCTGATTCAGGAAGATTCTCTCATGTCTGGTCATTCTTAAAGAGATGGAGTATATTTGGCATCCCACATGAGTAGACAACTACAGGTTTTTTACTCAAGCAGGAGCGTTTATGCTCTTTGTTGTCATCTGTCCAAAGAAAGTGGGCACAGCAGAGTTAGGAGGAGTTTTGCAGGGAGACGGATGAAGGGCAAAGAGCAGAGCAGGAGGGATCAGCACTAACCCTCCACCTCCATGCACACCTCTCCCGAATCCTGGACTTGTTTTGTGAAATTTGGGATAATGATCAACAGATACTTCGCAAGCTGACATTGTGATCGTGTCCTGATCATAAATATGCTTAGTAGCCATGAACAGGGAATGCCACAGCATCAATGTTATTTTGCAGGTGCAAGGGAAGTTTTCTGCTGTCATTTTTAAATCACGTTCATTTACAACTTGCTTCATTTTTCCCACCACCAATATTGTCTAATATTCTCCTAAGAAACAGCAGTACCTATTATTCATGTTTTTGTATCCTTTTTTTTTCCTTGCATCTTTCCTCACCACAAAGGAGAAACTCGTGATGAGGTCTTAGCACCATTGGTGTTGACTTTAACCTTATTGCTATCATCAGTGTTATGTTTTTGCCAGATATTAGAAAAAAATGTATTAGAATGTTAGAAAAGTGGACGTGATTTTGTAACAAGTTGCCATTCCTCTACAGGCAGTGGTATGTGAAGACATACCTTTCACATTTCTTTCCTTCAGATAATCAAGGCTATATTCCTTAGTTGTGCAACAGGGAAAGAATACGGTGAGAAACAGTGCAAAACTTTCTGGGGAGCACGTCTTCTACTGGGAGCCTTTTTACATCTAGCCTGATGCTTTCTGCAGATAGGGTCATACAGGAGGAGAGAGGCCACGGTGTGGCATAGCTAATGGGATTCATATTAGTTGCAAGGATTGTAACGTTTGTCAGTGGAGTACCAGTAGGTCATGTGAATTTTAGAAGTGAGAGGAAACATCTTGAGAGGAATGAATGCCAAGTGAATAACACATTCACAACCATGCTAGATCTTTTAAACTTTGTTTTTTTGTTTGAAAACAGTGAGAAGAAGCTTATCACAGATGCCCTGAATAAAAATCAGTTCTTGAAGAGACTGGAGCCTCATCAGATCCGAGATATGGTGGAATGTATGTATGAAAGGACTTTCCAGCAAGGGAGCTATGTCATCAGACAAGGAGAGCCAGGCAATCACATTTTTGTGCTCAAAGGTGAATACTGGTTACTTGTACAGTGCTCAAGTGCAAGAAACAGGAAAGTAATTATTTGCAGGAAACCACAACGATGATGTTTGTTCTCTTAAATTTATGCTGGCCCTGCTGAGGTCAATGCCAGTTTTACCTCTGACTTTTACAAAGCAGACTGAGGGCAACAAAAAGCAACTTAGAAACTCGAACCTTGATTTAATGCAATTTTGTGACCTCTTTCATTTCCAGAAGCCTAAAGGCCAGCAAATCCTTTGTGTTGGCTGCAGGTACAACCAATCCTTTATTCTCCAAAATAAGAGCAGGTATAATTTAAAATACAGAAAACTGGTCAATGGTGAAGCCATTTCTGAAATAAACTTACTTTTCAACACTCATGAGAGGCTATACCAGTTTTTTGTGTATAAGCAATTGAGAAATGAGGTTTGAGTTTAATGTTCTCAAAGCTTAGAGGTTTTTTTTTTTTAAACAGAAAAATCATTAGGATAAGAAAAGTTTCCTAAAATAATGCCAACTGGTCTGAAGTAATCTCACTGCAGTCATCTGTGCTGATTGCTACCATGCTTACTCTCGAATCTCAAATTACAGATCAGCCATAGCAAAACCCAAATTCAACACCTGAAAGTTGCTTCTGACAGCAATACTCTTTCATCATCTCACCATTTAAAAAAAAAAAAAAAAAAATCAGTATTTATGATTAATTTGCATACTTCATCAATTCTGAACCACTAGAAGGTCCAGAGGCTCATATGGATTAGAGTTCATGCTGTAAGGAGTATGTTCTGTTGAGGCAGGGATATTTAAGCCAGAAGCATACCGGTATATGTTGGAAAGCACATTTTCTGTCTTCTGGATCCGTATGTATGGGTTAGTTTGAAAAGTTGATGGTAGCTGTGTTAGGATAACATAGATAGTACAGGGAGAAACAGGAAGCAGGATTTGTAATGGGGTAGTCATGTTCTTGCTAGACAAAATGATAACATTTTAAAAAACAGATGAAATATGAGGAAGAAGTTGTACCCCTGGAAATTTTTCTGGCACATTAGACCTTTCTTGAGGAGTCAGTGAGTGTCTTAGAGAGAAGAGGGCCCAATTTTCAGAACATGTTTAAGGGAAGGTGGCCTTTTTGGCCATAACCTATGAAGAAATTAAGATTTTCTTTGACGTTTGCTAGGTTTGTATTAAGGCTCAAGGACAATTTTTAAAAGGAAGATTTAATGTGCTCTTAGTTTTTCTGCCCTTTTCTTTGCATTCTGCACATATATGCACATACATGTGTATGGGCAGACCTCATGAGTAATCTGTGATCACTATTTTAAGACTTGTTAGTCTACACCACATTAGGCTAGCTGAACCAGTACTGACTGTTTTGTTATAGCAAAGGTTTATCCCATCAGGATTAAGAATGACCCTTCTTCCATGGCCTTTTTAGTATTGAAGAGTTTATCTCAGCTTTCTTTCCCTTCCAGAGCAGATCTGTAGATTAGCAATACATTTTTAAGAAATAGTAAATCTCTACTGGTTTGTATATGTGTTTCAAAGCACTGTTTGCATCATTGCTTCCGTTCCTGTGTTCCAGGGCGTGGCAAAGCCAGAAATACATTGATTTGTTTTCTCTTCACTCGGTGCAATTGAGCTCAGTTTTAATACCTGTTATTATCTTGATGATTTTTGACAGAGGGCACTCTGGAAGTCTTTCAGCAGAATAAACTTCTTTCCTCAATACCTGTGTGGACAGCATTTGGTGAACTAGCCATTTTATACAACTGCACACGGACAGCCTCTGTGAAAGGTACCGAAGGTTTATTTTAACAATATTGCTCAAAATAAAAATTATGTACTTTTAGAAGATCCCTGTTATATCCAGATTTTCTTTGAAGTTTTCATTTAATAGATGTCTGCATGTCCATATTACCTACAGTAAACTCACATTTTCCACCTTGAGTTCTTTCTGCTTAGAAACTCTAATATTATGCCATGAATGTAATTCCATCTCTAGCATGACCTTTGATAAACAATTAGACATCTCCAAAGTATGCTGCTTAGCCAGATCTATACCAAAGTAACTGCTAAGGAAGGATTATGTTTTAATGTGATTAATTTTAATCTGCTTTAATAGCAGTGATGGTCTTTGGCTCTTATGTTCTTGTGTCAAATTCAAGTGTGAGGCTGAAATCACAGTGAGTTTGAAAAGGCATTAGAACCATGGTGATTTTAATAGAGTGGATAAAACCTAGTTTAGATAAGATATATGTAGGAATTAGTTGGTTTTGTACTTCTTTTAGTTCTATATCATTAAGTTACAGAGTGTTGCCAACATATGTTTGTATCTGACATTTGTGGCTGACACTCAAGAGAAGATTTGAGTTTGATCTCAAATGGGGTAGCAAGAGAGATGAAAGTTCTAGGTGAAACATGCTGCTTCCCTGAGGCAAATACTGGCTCTTGCTTTGTGTTTCCTAGCTGACCAGGATGGAGTATAGTGTTGCTCTGACACAAATATCCTTCCTCCTGCATAAGACTGGGTATTCATCCATTGAGTACCCCTTGATTACTTTTCTCACCTGCCATAATTATTCTGTGGTGGATCAGTAAGTGACCAAAGGTGATTAAATTCATAATTTTTCCACTCTCCACCATTCCATGAATATTACTTGTGTTTGAAGGCTAATTTCTGTTGTAGTCTAAATCTGCAGGAACTTTGAACTACCAGTAAGTATGAAGAGTTCATGTTGACTTAAAAAGAAGCAAATGGAATAAAACAGTAAGCTGTTCACTTTAAAAGCTTCTGATCTTTCTTCCCGCACCCAATTTAAGTACTTAATCATTGGTGGCTATGCAGAAGGAAGTTATTACATGTAATCTGTTTTTGTTGCTGCCTGGTAAACAAAATGGCATCAATAATGTGATTATTTTTCTTACTAGCACACTGTTCTACTTTAATGTGTTCTCTATTTTTCTTTTTTGCCTGCTGTATATATAATTCCTGCTGCATTATAAAGTATGTTTCTGCATAGCAAGATGTCATGTTGCTGTAGACTTGTGTTAACATTAACTGGTTTTGAGGTAGGACAAGAATTGTCCAATTATGGACAAGAAAGGATGTTTGAATACTTAAAATCACTGCAGAAACCCGCCCCTCCCCAATACCTTTCCTGTATTTTTTGTTCTGGAGGAAAAGCAGTACAATGCCATAACTGAGTGTGACTAGTAAATACATATGTGAAAACCCTTCCTTGATGCTGAATCTAGTGACTCCCTTTACCTGCACTCTTTGAAAACTGTCAAGTGAAGGAGTTTAGCCAGACAGTGTTTCAATGGCTGCTGCTACCCAGCAGCATCTTTACATGCAGTGGCTGTATTTGAAACTGGGAACAGGATTTACTCCTGTGTTTCTGAATTTCTCTTTATCTCATCTAAGAGATTACAGGATTTTTTTCTTGCTATTTAATTGCTTTATTTGGTTCAGGTGTAAGATACAGGAAATGTATTTGTGATAGCTTGGATACTTGCCATATTTTCTTAATGCAAAGTAAACAGAAAGATGTTATTTAGGAGAAAAACAAAACCAAAGTAATTATTTTTGTTCCCCCTTCCAGCATCCAAAAATATTTTTTTAGCTGTTTTGATAAATGGCAGCTAAGAGCATATATGGATATCAGGGTTAAGTACAAAGAACAAACTGTACCTCATTTTAATCCTGGCATTTTTCTTTCCTGTAAAAATGTTTGTATATTTATGATAGAGGAAATCAATGGCTCTAATTTTTTCTGTAGCTTTCCTTTATCCCAGAGAAAACAGTTTTGTTCCTCCTTATGACAGAAGGGAAACTGCTGAATATGGTGTAGCATCTTTTAAAAGAAGAGATTACATTAAATAGAATCACTTCATTTTGTTTAAAAAATTAAAAAGTGCAGTGTGTTTTGTTGTGTCAGTGAGTGCACACAGAGGCCGCTTAGTGGTTTGCACCTTTTATGCTGGATCTTATGTATGCTTACTGTATTAATATTTTTATTACCTTTCAAGAGTCATTAATGTTTTGATTACCCTTTATTCCCTTATGGCCACACTGGAGAAGAACTGTGTGAGACTCACAGGATTAAATGAAATGAAATTTATTTCTTGACCTCTGTTATTTCTGGCTTATTGCATATCTCACAAGCATGTGATCTGAATTAGAGATGTATCCAAGCCATAGTATTCAACATTTACCTCATAAGTTTTGAAAAACTTTATCTAAGTTTTTGTTTCTTTCAAATCAGCTCCTTTGCAGATTGCATTGTAGCTTTTGAGCACAATGACTGTCTGTGATTAGGGGTAGATCTTCACAAGCATTCAGCCCTGTTGGTGCTCATAATATATGGCTGAGTTTTCAAGGTTGCTCAGCCTGTGGAGTTGTATGGAAAGTGCTTTATGGAGGAACTGTTTGGAAATCTATGCCTTACTTTAGTGAGTATTGTTTAAGTGGGAGCTGAATTATTTTGAAAGTCTGATTTCAGTAGGTGCTGGATATTTTAAAATTTTGCCTTGGGTATTTTGAAAAGCTGGTCTTTCTTGTACCATGGCCTGATACTGTAATGTCTTGCATCAAATCATTCATAAACATGGTTGATTTTGTTGTTGTTTTTTGTTTTCTTAAAGCAATCACCAATGTTAAAACATGGGCATTGGACAGAGAAGTGTTTCAAAATATCATGAGAGTGACTGCACAAACAAGACAAGAGCAATACAGAAACTTCCTTAGAAGGTAAATATAAAGCATTTCTATTTCTAATACTGGTTTGGGCTGCTTCCTAAGGTGCACAACAATAATACTATGCCTGTTTTTATAAAGAGAGAGAGAAAGAGGCATTCGTAATGCAAAGGGCCTGAAAAACCTGAATATTTACCTCTCTTGATTTTTTTTTTAGGATTCACAAAATTGGTTTTCTCATTTTCATTGTTTTTCTCCTGCATTACATTAGGAAACATTAATAGGTGCTTGAATGCTTTTAAGAAATAGAACAAATGTATAGGAAGGTTACATGGCTATAAGTTAAAACAGTGATTAAATAGAGTTAAATAAATCCTACAACTAGAAGTTAATTTGCAGCTGGAGTAGATTAAGGAATATTCCTTATCCCTTGAAGACTTGAATATGAGAACTGCACGTCTCTCATAATTTATATACTAATTCCAACATAAATTACTAGCAAACCTGCAGAGAGTGGAATAATTATCTCTCCTGCAGAGAACACTGAGTTGTACAGTGTTTTTCCTTAGGAAAAAGGTTAAAATAGAGGTTCCAATCCCTAACTAGCAGATTTCATACTTTCTTTCTTTAAAAAAGTAACCATTTGGTTATGGCTTCAAATCAAGATCTCAAGCCTGGCCATGCATAGAACGTGTTGTGTATTTTTGCTTCTGTCTCCAACTTTGATTTCTATAACCACTTCTTTGCTGAGCCTGAGTAGCTGTAGAGAGCCCTATGATTTCCTAGCTTTTACAAGTCCGAGTGCTCAGGATGGGAAGTTTTTTCATTCTTACTAACAGGTTCACTAAATCATCACTGGTTGGATTCTCATTTAATAGTTGTCCAAGTAGTACTGAAGTCATTACCTCTGTCTGATTTTAAAGTCTCTGCAGTACGTTTGAAAATATATTACTGGATTACTATAATATCTTGGTTTTGCAATTAATGGATTCTATGTGACTGAATTTTGAAATTAGTCCATGTGCCCACTAGAGTTTCTTCCCCTACTGAAATACAAAGTTGATTGACAAACTGACCAACTTTTGCCACATTTGTGTTTGTAAGTTGTGTGAGTTCTGTTTACAAATTAAGATTTAGTTGTGTTTTGTATAGCACTACCAGCTTAGCTAGTTATAAAATGTGGTTGTACAAATTTTATAGATGAGAAGAGATCATGAAAAGAGTGTTTAAGTGTACTTCTGGGTTTTTTTTGGTTTACATTTCTGTTTTCTGGAAGTGTGTCCCTGCTGAAAAACCTACCTGAAGATAAATTAACTAAGATCATGGACTGCCTCGAGGTGGTAAGATACTGTTAAGTTTTTCTAAATAGTTTTCAGTAAACTGGCAAATAACAAAGGAGAATAAATAAGTAAAAACAAAACCGAAAAATCAAGCTTTTTTAAAATATTGACAGTGGTTTTGGAGTGGTCAAAGTGGAATTCCAAGTTAGCAAATAACAACAGTCAGTGACGTAAAAGTAAGTTTTATCTTTGGCATCAAAGGAGTCAAGCAAGTAGATAAGAGGATCTATAATCTAGCCTTTGTTAAGATTAGGCACAAAGTTGCTGTGAAGGTCTCTGACTGTGTTTTGGTAATCACGCTTTACCTGTTTGCATAATTTCATGTGCCTTGGACCACATACACTGCAAAACATAGGGGGAAAAAGGCCTTGGGACTTCAACGTATGAAGCCAGCCAACTATCTGTGCGTCTTAGGGCTTCATCTGCCAGCAGCCGTTGGATGTAAAGACTTGATAGATAGTTATAGCTGTGATGTTTTCCAAGAGCAGTGGTAACTACTGGTGCTTTTTTGTATAAGGAAAGTCTGTAGGAACCAGTCTTGGAACAGTTCTGCAGATGGAGAGCAAGAGTTCTTCAGAAAACTAAGAGCCTCAGTCCCAGCAGGTCAGAGGAGGCACATAGTGGTGCGTGGCCGTAGCACAAGGGGATGAGGAGATGATGGCGTTGATTATGTGAGATGGCAAATGGCCTTAGCACAGCAGTATCCTAAGCAGTCACTTTTTATTTTTTTGTGGGGGATTTCTGGCAAGGGAGGACTTCTAGGAAACACTCAGAGGAGAAGAAAACGCAGTGCTTGTTTGTGAGGAATAGATCACAAAGCTGGAAGTTAACATGGAGAAAATGCTTAATTTAAGTTAAACAATTAAGTAATGAAGGCAGGGTTCCTTAGCAGAGACAGAAAAGTTGGTGCTTTGGTAGCTTGCAATAGATGATTCCTACTGAGGTGTCAAGCCCAAAATTACTCTTAGAAATGGGATTTTGTTTTAGAACTCTGAAGAGCTTTTGATTTTTTTACTCGTTTTCCTCTGCTTCGTAAGAATGATACCAGTCCTAATATTTATTTTAAACAAATAACTTGTTGCTGCATTAAAATATGTTGCAGATTGGCCACAATGCCTTATATAGTGGGATGCTTGCAAATTATTATGGGATGCAACGTATGCAGGAGATAGGAAGTTAAACATCAGTGGAACATCCAGATGTATTAAGAACTCTGCATAGCAATCGGAATTTCCAAAGAGGCTAATGATATACTGTCTCTCTCTTCCCCACCTCCAACAGGAGTACTATGACAAGGGCGATTATGTTATTCGAGAAGGAGAAGAAGGAAATACCTTCTTTATTATAGCAAAAGGCAAGGTAAGATATAATAAACCTAACTTATAAAGAAACATACAAACACCTATATTTCAAAAGCTACCATGAGGGGTCTGGTCTTCAGTAAATCTGTGCAGAGCTTTTGAGGATGCTGTTAATACCACAGCACTGTGAAAAAAGCTTGGGCCAGCATTTCAGAGATTCAGGGAACCTAATTTTCATGCACAATGAACTCATGTTATACTGTTCTAATTATAATGTAATTAAAGTATGTCCTGAAGCCTCTTGACACTGTAGCAGAGATGTAAAGTCAATTTTTTGTAAATGAGATTTGATCCTGTGTCTTCTCCTGGATGTTTCAATATGTGATGAGCATAACATAGATTTGTGAAATAGCTACGAAATAATGGAGTCTTAGGTTTACTGGAGAATGGCCTGGGTGACTCGGGGTCTATTCCTTTCATTTAGAAATAGACCCAGAGGTGTAAGGCAACAGCCTTCATCCATCACCCGGATGGCTGACACGGGACTCTAAAGAATCAAATCAGGAGAATTTTCATCCATAAACTTCCAGTCAGGGTTTCAGTTTTCCAAAACGTGTCTGTGTCCGGAGGTAGTCTGGTTCTTTTTTTTTGCTAATGGTTGTGGGCATCGGCACAATGTGTGCTACTGTGGAAGCAGAGTTCTGGGAAGGAGGGATGTTAGTTACAGTTTATGAGGCTATCCATTTAGCTGAGTAGACAAAAAGCTCATATGATGCCTGCCCACTGTGGGAATGGAAGTATTTTTCAGTGTTTCATTAAAACGTAACTTATTTTGCTCTGTTTTAAAAGATACGAGGACAAAATGTTGGGAGGTAGGCAACAATTAATATATTCACTTATCCATCTCTCAGCAAAAATTGGAGAGGATTGATCGTTTTAACTTTCGAGAGGAGGGAGTAATTATATATATTTGTAACTCTTTCTGCAGCATTACTGAGTTTAAGACATTTATGAAATACACAGAAATGAAGGGGGAAACAAGCAGTACTTTGAGACTTCCCTTGTTAAATTTTTGTTCCTGTACTTTCCAGGTGATTGTTACCCAGAGTACTGCAGATGACTCACAGCCGCAGCTGATTAAAAATCTACATAAAGGAGACTACTTTGGAGAAAAGGCTCTCATTAGGTTAGTTCACGATTGGATTGATGATGTATAGTATTCCAATTGGCCTATCACTATGGGTCGGATTATACAACTCATGGCTGTTTTGAACATCATCTTTGTTGCATCTCATCCTAATTTCTTGGAAGGTTGCTAAAGGAAGTCATGATCCAAACCCTATTGAAACTGGAAAAAATACTGTGCTAGAAAATAATAATGACTACTAAAATGCTATAATTGTGTATTTGTTTCAGTGATATTAACCCAGATACAGGCTGCAGAGGCCTTCAAGGAGTTTCACCTATAGCAGCTGTGACCTTCCATGAGTACAGTGTGAGGTACTTTGAGGATTTTGATACACTTCTGAATTCTAATCTGTTTCAATTCTTAGTGATGATGTCAGATCAGCAAACGTTATTGCAGATGAACACAATGTGGAGTGCCTCGTTATTGATAGAGAGTAAGTATCGTGCTACAGTTTAATGAAAGATTTGCATCCTCTTTCAGTAGGTTAACAATAAGATGTCACTGTAAGCACAAGCAGTACGTTTTCTTAAGTGAATACTGAATGAGTTGTTATGCTTTTGGAATACTGAGCTGTGGCTGTGCTTTAGACAAAGACCTAACGGAGAGAGGCTGACAGAAGGTGTGGGACCACAGAAGTTTAAGAGTAGTTCAGAGTTATTCTTTTCTTTCTCTCCTTGTGGGGGTGACGTTTCACATTTGTTAAGTTCTGTTAATTGGCTCAGGGAACAACAGAAGCCTCTGCATGTCCCTGGTTTCAGGATGCCCTTTTGTTGAGGCAAACATGCAGCCAAATTCCTGGTTTTGTCAGGCAGAGCCAATTTTATACTTTCTAAAGTATAAAAGAATGAAACAGGTGAAAGATACAAGAGAGCAAGCTCCCAGTGGAAAGTAAAACAGCAAACCTGCATTTCTCAGGGCTAGGTGTAAGGGTGCTTACTCAGATTGTGGACAGCCACCATCCTTTTCCTTACTGAATCCCATCAGGGCTCCTACTGAGGGCTAAGATTCTACCCCAACCTAGGAAATGGCGTCTTGGGCTGTGAATGCATTTTCCTCTTCTCTTCTTTAGCTTGTTTAAAAAGGTTGCAGAGAAACATGCCAAAGCTAGAGTGTTCTAGGAGAAGGGGATACCAACAGTATTGCAGTAGGTAAACCAAGGGTTTGCATGGCATCGCTGGAGGGTGGCAATGCTAGTGGGAGCATTTACACTTCTCCTGAGAGCATGAAGGGCTCGGAAGCATATTTGAAATGCTTGTACATCAACACACACAGTGTGAGAAACAAACAATGAACTAGAAGCGTTGGTCAGCTCCCAGAGCTACAATGTCATTGGTATTGGTGAGACTTGGTGGAATGAGTCCTACAATTGGAACGCTGGGATGGAGGGATACAGGCTGTTCAGAGGGTTGATTGTACAGCCCTTACAGTTAGTGATGATGTGGTTGAGAGCCTCTGGGTGGGCTCTAGGGGGATGGAAAACAAAGGAGATGTTGTGGTAGGTGTCTACTACTGATCTGCCAGTATGTGAGCACTGATGACTTACTCTGTAGGCAATTAGGTGAAATTTCTGGATCGGTAGCCTTGTCCTTATGGGAGATTTCAACTTTCCAGACATCAACTGGGAATATCACACTGTTGTGACGAGCAGGTCTTTAGGAATTCTTGAAGTTTGTAGGAGATAACTCCTCACACGTCCTCAGTGAGCCAATTAAGAAAGATGCCCTCCTAGCTAGACTTGCTATTTACAAATAGAGAAGGACTCGTGGGAGATATGATGATGGTAGGTGGCGGTCTTGAGACCACGGTGATCATGAAATGGTTGAGTTTAAACTTTTTGGTGTAGTGAGAAAAAAGGACAGCAGAATTGCTACGCTGGATTTCAAGAAAGCAAACTTTGAGCTATTGGGGAGCTATTTAGCAGAGTACCCTGGGAATCTGCTGTTGAGAGCTCAGGAGCCCACGATTGCTGGTCAGTCTTTCAGAACCACCTTTTAGAAGCCCCAGAGCAGGCAATCCCACTGTCAAGAAAGCGGGGCAGGAGACCAGCTTGGCTGAACAGGGAACTTGTCACGGAGCTCAAGAGGAAAGAGAAGTTGTATGATCTCTGGAAGTAAGGTCGGGCTTTGCAGGAAGATTACAGAGCTGTGGTTCATATATGCGGGGAGAAGACATAAAAGGCCAGAGCTCAATTAGAATTGAAACTGGCCAGTGTTGTGTCAGACCACAGGAAATGCTTTTTTAAGTATGTCAATAACAAGAGGAGGTCTAAAGAAAACATTGGACTGATACTTATCGAAGACTGTCACCTGACTAATTGAGATTAAGATAAAGCAGAGGCATTCAGTGCTTTTTTTTTGCCTCAGTCTTTAGTAATACTGATAGAGATTTGGCTGCCTGGTCACCTGAATTGGAGGACCACGAGTGTGGGAACAGTGACTTTCCATTTGCGGACACTGAAGTTGTAAGGGACCAGCTGTATCAGCTGAACGTTAACAAATTCCCAGGGCCTGATGGGATTGACCCCAGGGTGCTCAAGGAGATACAGTGGATGTTATGGCAGGACCCCTCTCGATCATCAGGCACAAGAGTTCTGTTTAACTAATTTTATATCCTTCCATGATAAGGTCACCCACCTAGTAGATGAAGAGAAGGTGGTGGGTGTAGCTTTTCTGGATTTTAATAGGGCTTTTGATACTGTCCCTCGCAGCATCCTTCTGGACAAGTTTTCCAACTGTGGGATGAGTGGCTTCACGGCGCACTGGTTGAAGAAGGGGCTGAAGGTCAGGGTTCAAAGGGTTGTAGTGAATGGGACTACATCTGGCTGGCGACCGGTCACCAGCGTGTTCCTCAGGGTGCAGTTCTAGGGCCGGTTCTGTTCAATATATTTGTCCACAGTCTGGATGCAGGAGTTGAATGCACCACTAGCAAGTTTGCTGATGATGCCAAACTGGGAGGTGCTGTTAACTCTCTTGGGGGATGAGGTGCCTTGCAGAGGGATCTAGATTGATTTGGAGCATTGGGCATTCATTAATGACATGAAATTTAACAAGTCCAAGTGCCGGATTCTGCAGCTGGGCTGGAGTAACACCAGGCAGGCGTATAAACTGGGAGAGGAGCGGCTGGAGAGCAGCCCTGCAGGGAGGGATCTGGGGGTGCTGGTCAGCAGCGGGCTCAGCGTGAGCCGTTGGCCGTGTGCCCTGGCAGCCCCGAGGGCAAACCCCATCCTGGGGTGCCAGCACAGCACAACCAGTCGATCGAAAGCGGCGATTATCGCGCTGTATTCAGTGTCGGTGCGGCCTCACCTCGGGTTCTGTGTGCAGTTCTGGGGCCTGCAGTGTAAGAAGGAGGTGAAGGTCCTTGGATGCGTCCAGAGGAGGGCAGCAAAGCTGGTGGCAGGGCTGGGAGGCATGTCCTGTGAGGAGCGGCTGAGGACTTTGGGGTGGTGTAGTTTGGAGACAAGGAGGCTGAGGGGCGACCTCGTTGCTCTCTGCAGCTTCCCGAGGAGGGGAAGTGGAGAGGGAGCTGCCGAGCTCATCTCCCTGGGATCCAGTGATAGGGTACGTGGGAGCGGTTCAAAGCTGTGTCAGGGCAGGTTTAGACTGGACGTTAGGAAGCATTTCTTTACCCAGAGGGTGGCCAAACACTGGAATAGGCTTCCTAGAGAGGTGGTTGATGCCCCAAGCCTGCCAGTGTTTAAGAGGCAGTTGGACAACGTACTTAATAACATACCAACTTGGTTGGCCCTGAGTTGGTCAAGCAGTTGGACTAGATTCTTGTAGGTCCCTTTCAACTGAAATAGTCTGTTCTAAATCTGTTCCTCCCACAGTGCTGTTATTCACCTGTGAAGTAGGAGAGGTGATCTCAAGTGCTTTGGCACAGTGTACAAAGGGCCCTATCCACTGGGATGGAAGGGCTGATAGCCTGGACACATACCAAGCTAGTTCCTGTGGGTGGAACCACACTTAATAACCACAGTGTGTGTGGGAGGCAAAGTATACCCAGCCTGCTCCATATTACTTAAACATAACATGAAATGTCCTGAGGAGATCAGACACTCTGTCCCCTACCCTCTGAAAAAACAACTTTGGTACTTCAGGTGGTTACCGCCTCTTCAAAGCTCTTTAAAATTTGTACTGTCAAAGCGATAGTGTAAAAAACACAGTCTGAGTCATGATTTAGAGGCAATGCAAAGCCTTAGTGCTGCAGCACAGATACCCGTTTCTTTATCTTTCCGCTGTATGTTCAGTAGTTTATACTGTTTCTTTCATGGTTTTTAGGACATTTAATCAAACTGTTGGAACTTATGAGGAGCTTCAAACTTACCTCGAAGGTTATGTGGCTAATCTGGCCCAGGCTGATGAAAAGCGACATGCAAAGTAAGTCAGATAATTTGTTAGGCACACCTTTAGTAGGTAATCATAATAAAGAGTGATAAAATGTAAATAAAATAATGAATGGTAGTTGGTGGAGGTGTGTCCCTAGGAATGATGGCAATCACTGTAATAAAATTGTCTGGATATGTTTACTGAGCCCAAGAAATTTTTCCTGAAATGAAAATTACATAGAATCGCAGTATATTGACTTCCAAACAAGAATTCACTCTATCTCAAGAAAACTGAGCACAGAAAAGAAGTGAAAATGTACTCAAATAATTTTTTGCATTCTGATGGTAAATTCTTTGGCTGGTAAAACCCCTAAAGGTCAACATTAACTCCCAGTTGAGTTAATGAAACTGTATTGCTGCACAAAAGACTAATTGCCATTGCAGATAGAAATAAGCAGAAATAAAAGAAAGTTTATTTTTAATGTTTCAGTGTAGCACTGGTGCTATTAAAGAGTTTGCTTTTAGCTGTGGACCATGCTTTTAGTTTATCTGCCTCTGATTTCAACCTGAACACTATTGGAAGTTTAGCAGAGTATGTTTTTTGGTGGTGTTTTGTTGTTTTGTTTGTTTGTTTGTTTAGAGATATAGCTACATTTTTATTTCTGATCATTCTACTGGAACTGGTACATAGTCCTTCAGAAATCAGTACTCCAGAGTTTTGGAGCTGACTGCATAATTGGGAACCTCATCATGGATCAGCTCTTGAGAAAAATACTCAGTGAACTTCAGTAGCATTTTGCTTCTAATTTACTTCCATAGGATGTCCAGAAAGTGCTTCTGCACAAAATAAAGTTTCTGTTAGGAAATTAGAAGGCTTTTCTTTTTTTTTTTTTTTTTTTTTTAATAGGACTATTAAAGTATTATGATATAAGTAGCTGGCCAGGAAAGCACTAACCTATGTTAATTTTCTTAATGCAGAGGAAGATCCTTCTGTGGACAGTTGACCAAAGAGGAGGTGTCTTTGGAGATGATAGAGCTGAAGGAGAAAGTAGCTCAGTTCCCTCCTTCCCCATTCCAGAATTTAGAAGTTGTCACAACTCTGGGTGTTGGTGGGTTCGGAAGGGTTGAGCTCGTAAGAGTTTGTTTTAAACATATTCAAGTAGTTCTCTGTCTTAAATGGTTAACTGCTGAAAAATTTGAAAGATTTTAATATTCTGCATGCTTGTGCCTCTCAGGCAGAGGTGATTCTATATAAAGCAATGCATAGTTAAAAAATATTTTCAGTACTTCGATATTCAAAGAAACAAATCCATTCTTGTGTGTCTTCATCTCCTGCTGTTAAAAGTATCTTCCCTTTTCAGTTTGTGCTTGTGGAGTTTACAGGTGTGCCTACCTGCATTGTATTTCCTGAATTGCAGGCCTCTTCCCAAGATTCTGCCTGGACCTGAAGTAATCTCCAGCATCACATAGTCTGTGATGTTAGAATTGCTTTGGCACGCCTCACAGCAACTATTACCAGTGTGATCTGGCTCTGAGCTGTGTTGACTGAAATTTTCAACAATTTGTAATAGCTCTTTTCAGTCATATTCAGTAGCATGAACAGCTGTGTTTCTGGGACGTGAAGAACCTCATTAAACTAAAGTCTTAAATTCCACTGGCTGAGTAGCAAACATCTGAAAAAATAACAAATGCTTCTTGTACAGGCTGCTGCAGGTAATGGTAAATTAAAGGAAGCTATGTTTATTTTAGTGAAGTCAGTAATCCTTTACAGTAGGTAGACCATTAGTTGTTTTATTCCGATTCATGATTCACAAAGTGAATTGCCACACTGGTTGACTGCCAGCTTGGAAATTCTATAGCATCACCTGAATAATTAGCTAAAAATTGAATTCTCAGCCAGCTGTAGAACACCAATAGCTGCTTCCTTGGTTTCCTGGGAGCCCTGTTTCAACTTCTATCTTCTTATTGCATATTGGATAATATTTCAGTGTAATAAAATATCATTTGTAAATAGTTTTCATAAACTGCCTCTGCTTTTTGTTCTTTTGTATTATGCTAGTGTTCAGAAATCTTAAATTGAAATTAGGACCTGTTGTGATATAAACTTATTGTAAAATATAGTACCTGTCCAAACTGCTGCTATTTTGTATACATAAAATGAACACAGGGAACTTTTCTTCTAATTTTACAAGCGGGGACCGGGACACTAGAAATATCTGATGCTTGACTTAAAATCATACAGAACAGTTCTGCATAAAATCTGGAATTTGTTCCTCATTACAGTCATAAATTCAGTCCTGTGCTGTGTTGGAAAAGATGGATATCAATGTGCCTATTGAGAACAGATTCATAAAACATCCTTTCTTTGCCTCACATGTATTCATCATCTTTATTCACAGGTTAAAATGAAAAATGAGAACATGGCTTTTGCTATGAAGTGTATAAAGAAGAAACACGTAGTGGACACCAAACAAGAAGAGCATATCTATTCTGAGAAGAAAATCCTTGAGCAGATATGTTGTCCATTCATTGTAAAGTAAGTTGACCGTAAGGTTTCCTTGAAAGTTGACCTGCAGTTGGTTCACTGGACAGCATTATTAAGAATGAGGTTTGGTGTATATATGAGTTCTGGAGGAAAGGCAGCACAAATCTTGCATTTTAGTTTGCTTTTCCTAAATTGCTGTTGTTTGTTTCCACAGACTGTATCGCACATTCAAAGATAGTAAGTATGTGTACATGCTGCTGGAGGCTTGCCTTGGAGGGGAATTGTGGAGCTTGCTGAGAGACAGGTAACAGCAAATGAAATGGAACCTTGTCCTTTAAAATCACTGGTCAGCTCCATGTCTGCTGGGTTGGCTCTCTATTCAAGGGCTGTCCAATTAAAAGACATTTGATTTAGTTTTCAACCATGAGTGATGCACTGAATGTCAGTGCAAAAAAGCTGTTAATATTCTGGGTGTTATATGTTATCTGGGTAATGAGCAACACATGTTTAGAAGTTAATTGTTTGCAAGAATAGTGTTTATTTTTGTTCCAGAGGCAGCTTTGATGAAGCCACTACCAAGTTCTGTGTTGGGTGTGTGACAGAGGCTTTTGACTATCTACATCACATAGGAATTATCTACAGAGACCTGAAGCCAGAAAATTTAATTTTGGATGCTGAAGGATATATAAAACTGGTAAGATGTAATCCTTTTGTAATGTTATCCTTTTGTGCCTGTACCCTGTTTCCTTGCAGTGGGGATGTAAATAGACAGCATGTAGTGAAAGTACCAGGATCCTGGAGTTTAATAACTCTTAACATTTCAGTAGAAAAGAGGGTAGGCTACTCGTTGCACAGTGAGAAACAAAGGCATTGCAAAGCCATTGCAAGCCACAGACAAACTAGGGATTTGTAGCCTATGAGAGCTCTTGCCAGAGCATAAAAAGCAAAAAAAAATTTCTCCCAGCAGCCAATCTTAATGTGAAGGCAGGAACTACCTTTTCCAGGTGCAGAATTACTTCTCTGTCCAGCCTCAAGCAATCATACATTCTACATTATCTCTGTAGAGAGAGAGAACACAGTGTAGAGTTCCTGCCATACTTGACTGTGACCATGAAAAGTGTAAAGAAAATACCCTTCAAAGAGCTTGAAACATCCACTCTGACGACAGTGAGCAACCCACTATTTTCCATGGGCTGTAAATCTCGTGTCCTCAAGGAAAGCATGGGTTGTGCTATCCAAAAGGGAAATAATTCAGGAAATTACTTGTGAGAGTAAATGGGTCTGTTCTATAACATTTGATAATCCAGTGAAATTACTTCTTTCTCCTTCACAACAAGACTGTGGAATTGTTTTAGCTGTAAACTGGCAATTCTAAGAACTTTGCAGGAGGTGAAGCAGTTGAGACCTTAAGGCTTCCCAGTGCGAAACACCTCTGCATTATGCAGCATGTGTTGATTTTGATCAGGTTGATTTTGGATTTGCAAAGAAGATTGGATCAGGGCAGAAAACCTGGACGTTTTGTGGAACCCCTGAGTATGTTGCCCCTGAAGTCATTCTGAGTAAAGGCCATGACTTCAGTGTGGATTTTTGGTCCCTTGGGATTCTTGTGTATGAACTCCTTACCGGCAGGTAAGTGCCTTCTACTCCAAGTTCTTACCTTGTTTGTTTCTAGAAACGTTTTCAAGGTTATTTTAAAAATAAGCATTTTAGTTTTTTTACCATCAGGAATTACTTGTAAAATTATACTTCTTTTTGCCTCTTATGCATGTCTTCTGTCATTTCGGAAATGCCGTGGACAAAGTGTGGGACATCTCGGTTCTGGTTTATCCATCAAGGGAAAGGGCCAGACACTGGCTAGCAGTGGCTGGCGTAGAGCTCCTTTGACTGCTTATGTTGTTCCCCGTGAGGAACAGCTGACAACAACCTGTCCTTGTCCTCTTTAATGGGTGATGGGGCACAGTGGAGCGGGTGAACTGTAAGCAGGGCTTGTTCTTTGCCTCCACGCACACTCCCTGTGAATGTTCAATGGCAGTACAGCGTGGAAGCTCCTCTGAGTTAGGCTGGAGGCAGAGCTACCTTAGAGGGACACACGATCATGTGTTTTCCATGGTACCTCCAGGCAGCTCCTCAGCTTCAAATCTTTCTGGTATCTTACACAGACTGAAAGGCTGAGGGTTGTAAAACTAGGAGGGTGGGGGATTTTTCATGTTCTCAAATATTTGCTTTGATGAGAAATGGCCACATCTGCTCTTGCCAGCCATTCCATCTTTCAGTGTTGCTTTCTTTCTCTAGTCCACCATTCTCTGGGGCTGATCAAATGATGACATATAATTTGATTCTCAAAGGCATTGAAAAACTGGATTTTCCTAAAAGAATAACAAGGCGGCCTGAGGATTTGATCCGCAGACTCTGCAGGTAGGAGGGGCAAATTGTGGCAGAGCCTGGCTGTAGAGAGATTGAGCTATTTAAGATCCAGACTATTGTTGAATTGCTGACAATTTAAAATTGTTAGGCCTGACATGGTCTATTCTGATTATATTCAGTGTGCGTGCATGTCTCTCAGTGTGTGCCACACCTCTTAGTATGCACAGGTATCATCTACAAATGTAGGCTCTGGGCTTTTTCCGTAGCTGTGAATTTTTTTCTGAAACACATCTTAAGGAAAACTTAAGTGTGGGCTGAGGAAAGAGTTAAACAATTTAATTTTATTATCAAGCGCAGTGTTTTAAAAAAAATGCTTCCAAAATTACTTAGCTCCTATGGAAAGCATGGGGCACTTAAAGACTGACTTCAGCCCACTTGAAAATATGCAAAAAGGTGGCATTTCAAAAGGGTTATTTCATTATTTCATAACTCAGATGCATTAGTGCATAGGGGCATGCACAGCCTGTGGCTGGTGACACTGCTGACTCTGAACTCCCAGCTCCAGTGGGATTTCATTCACGGCACTAGGAACAGTGTACACCGTGTTTGTGCAGCAGGATTGAAAGAATCTTTGTAGCTGCAAATTTTGGTCTACCTTCTTTTTGTAACTCATGACCTGACCCTGCTGTCCAGGGGAAAAAAAAAAAAAGGTGTGCAACTAAAATTCAACCAGTTGATTTCCCTCTGCTGTCTCTCACCACAGTTACACTGTTTTGACTTCCTGGAAGGCTTCTCAGTCCTCAAAAGAAAGGAGCAGTGAGCAACACATCATTATTTTTCCTTATGAGACCACATGTTGTATGCAAGCTCCATCCCTGTGTAACTGTTAATGCATGCAGTTAGGACCTGTAAATGCTCTTCTAAAAAAATAATAATGCTTTTTTTAAAATTCTTACCTTTATTCTTTTTCTCTTTTTTTTTTAAGGCAAAACCCTACAGAAAGATTAGGCAATCTGAGGAATGGAATTAATGACATCAGGAAACACAGGTAACTGCAAGAGACTTCCAAGAAGAAAATTCAGGTTTTAATGTGAAAATATTTTTGATATTTGTCATAGTTTGAGCCTGTTCGGCAGCCAACCACCCTGCAGCCGCTCACCCACCCTCCCCCCCAACCTGGGAACGGGAGGGGTAAAGGGAGACTCGCAGGTTGAGATAGAAACAGTTTAATAATGGTAATAAAATGAAAACAATGACAGCAATGGAAAATATAAACGGGCAATGCACAATGCAATTGCTGACCACCTGCTGACCAACACCCAGCCCGTTCCCGGCCAGCGATCCCCAAATACCAAGATCCTGCAATCGCAATCCTGGAAGCGAGAGCGAGCTCCTTCCTGACCACCCCTCCTCTATGCAGTGAGCATGGCGTTCCATGATATGGAATATTTCATTGGCCAACTTGGGGTTTTGTTATTTTCCTTTTCATTACAATTTTTAAAGCTTTTTGGTTTAGTTTATTTCAGTTATTGGATTCTCTCCTCCACCCCACAGGGGGTGAGGAGTGAGCGAGCGGCTGTGTGGTGCTTAGTTGTCGGCTGGGGTTAAACCACAACAGTCTCTTTTGACACCCAGTGTGGGGCTCGAAGGGTTGACATAACAACAAATGTGGCCTGAGCGTATTAAAACAAATTTGTTATAAGCATTCATTATATTAGTTTAATAGTCGCTGATCACAGTGTTGATTTATTTGATCTCGTCGTTGTTCTCAGAGCTGTGTTATATAACACCTTACTTGCTGAGTATGTTCCCTGTTGCGCTGTTTATCACCTGGGGGGCAGGATTAAGGTTATCATTTTGATGTACTGTGTAACACTGGTTTTTGATACGATAAATTTACTGGTTATGAGACTGGGCTGGTATTATACTCAGCACTGCCATCATCTCCATACATCGGGAACCATCTCAGAAACTATTAATAATTATACCCTTTACCTTTTCTCCTCTGAGAGTCAATCTACAGGGGAGACAAGAGCAGACACTTTCCCTCCACTCCTTCATTTCTCCTTTCTCCTTCACCTTCCCCTTTTCCTCCAGGCTAGTTACAAGAGCTCTTAGAGAATTTTGAATATCCTTGGGATGTTCAAACCAGCATGTTCCTACTTCTGTGTCTCCTGAATGTGTTTCAGGTCTTGTTTAAGGTTAAACAACTATTTAAGAATACCACCCATAGATCTGCTCCAAGGCTGTATAGTTAGGAGTGGCAGGGTGCGTGGGATAGAATGGGCAAGTACCTAGGACAGGAGGCACCTCCAGTGTTTTAGAACTTCACCTCTGAAGAAGTGCAGAAACCTGAAAAACTAGTAAAATATTTGGAAAAAGCGTGCTGTCAGCTGGCAGTTCCAGAGACACAAATCACTGTAACATGCTGGGGCCTGGCCTGTGTCTGCTGAGCCCTGTTCAACACTATCCAGTACTCTCAAGGGGAAGAGAAGGTCTCTGGATCTGACAGCAAAACGGCAACAGCACTGTGGCTACTCCAGCACCCACAACAGGAGTTGCAGTTAAACCAGAGAACCAATCCATGCGAGGATCAGTCGCCCCTATACACAAAAAAGAATACTGGATGCGCAAGTTAGCTCTTTTTGTAAGGGAAGAAACTCCTACTAACGAAGAGAAGGAGGAATTAGTGGACAAGGCAAGCTACTCCAAAGCAGGGCCATAGTGCAACTCATAAACGAGGCAGTAGCCACCTGATCCCTATCCCTGAGTGAGATGCGAGATACGTGAAAAGATTTCAGCCATCATCCAGGCAAGCACATGGTCACCTGGACGCTCTGACGCTGGAGTAACAGGGCCAGTAGCCTGGAATTGGAAGGTGGAGAGGCCAAGCAGCTGGGATCCCTTTCTAGGCAGCAGGGTATTGACAAGACGATTGGAAGACAGACACAAATTCTCAGCCTTGGGAGGTGACTCCTGTCATGAAGGTGTGAAGGAAAGGTACCCCTTCAAGAAGATGCTGTATGTCACTCAGACAAGGGGCCACCATGGGGAGAGGTATCCGGTACATGAGGGAATTAGCCATGCGGGAGGTGATTTATGGTGACCTGGACAGCGAGCAGTTATCCACAGATCCAGATGAAGTCCAGTGCACACAGCCCAAGTGGTGGAAGTTTGTACAGGCCACACCGTCGTCATATGCCAACTCAATGGCGTTAGTGACCTGAAAAAAATGGAGAGACACAAATGGTGGATGAATTGCCTGGGCACCTCCAGCAGTACAGAGGAAGTCTCTCTTCCTCCCTACGGGCCTGCATCTTGGCTGTGGAGAAACTGTCCTGGGAGTTCTGGTAATTTAGAGGATACGCCCCATCTGCACGGACTAGTATCTCAGCTATTAGGAGTGAGCGTTCCTCTGCTCAAGAGGAAGGATGTAGTCAGTCCACACCCTATGTTTTTACCTGGGTGACCATGGAAAGGACATGAGGGAGTGAAAAATCTACCTCAACCCTAGAGGCACAGGTATGTGAGTTGCAAGGGAGAACAAACACAAAAGGGTGTTCTTCCAGGAAAACTGCTCCAGTTAAGTGGGCAGTTTCCTAGACAGAGTAGAAGGCCTGATCTTACTTCCAATCTTAATAAAGGGACTTCTGATTTGTATTTACAAGAAGTGAGTAATGAATACTATGACCAGGACAATAGGGGCCCTACCTGTAGCCAGATGGAGGAAAGGGACAACTGGGTTTATTGGATTGTGTGGGTTTGATGACCTGGCACATCAGACCCCCAGGAGTATGAGGCTCTGGTGGACACCAGTGTACCCTAGTGGCATCGAGCTATAAAGGGTCAGAATCCATCTGTATTTCTGGAGTGACAGAGGGATCCCAACAGCTAACTGTATGGGAGGCCAAAGTGAGCCTAACTGGGAATGAGTAGCAAAAGCACCCCATAGTGACTGGCCCAGAGGCTCCATGCATCCTTGGTGTAGAGCACCTCGGGAGCGGCTATTTCAAGGACCCGAAGGGGTACTGCTGGACTTTCGGTATAGCTACCTCGGAGGCGGAGGAGATTGAAGAGTCGTCCACCTTGCCTGGTCTCTTGGAGGACCCTTCTGTTGTGGGGTGGCCGAGGGCTGAAGAGCAGCAGGTGCTGATTGCCACCACAGCCATGCGCCAGCGGCAGCATCGCACCAGTCGAGACTCTCCGATTCCCACCCCTAAGCTGATTGATCAGCCGCAGAGCCCAAGGGGTGATCAGCAAAACTCGCTCACCCTTTAACAGTTCTGTACAACCAGTGCGAAAGTCTAATGGGGAGTGGAGACCGACGGTAGACTTACTGTGGCCTGAGTGAAGTCACACCGCTGCCGAGTGCTGCCGTGCCGGACTGCAGTATGAATCGAAGTCAAAGCAGCCAAGTGGCACGCCACAACTGACACCCCTGATGCGTTTTTCCCAAGCCCCTTGGCAGCAGAGCGCAGGCTGCACCCTTCCAATTCCCTCCTCCATCCCACCACGGGGCAGGGGTGAGCGAGCGGCTGTGTGGTGCTTAGTTGCCAACTGGGGTTAAACCACAACACTCCCTCTTCTCATGCTGTTAAGAGGGTGGAATTCAAAGGGGATGCTTATGTCCTTGCATGGCTGTGCTTATGCATATATTAACCTGTATGGCAATGACAGTGCTCAGGTTTCCTCCTAAAAACTATGTTGTCACATGGACAGAATTTGTCATAAAAAAAATATCTTGCAGCCCTTGTTTACATGTTTTTTAGCTGTTAATAGTATAATGACAGAAAACAATCTGTCCTTCTCCCCTGGTCTCTCCCTGTCTGTGTCTTGTTTCTTTTTAAACAGGTGGTTGAGTGGTTTTAACTGGGATGGTCTGAAAGTGAGGAAATTAACATCGCCTTTAAAAAGAGAGGTATTGGCTTTGACTTTCAATATTATAATGCTTTACTAATATAAAGGTACTTGGCTATAAAGAACCAAGAGCGAAATTTCCCAAAGATGCATTTGAATTATTATAGCTCATCATTTTTAGTGAAAATTGAATGAAAGAGAGAGAGACAGCGAGCAATACATAACTTAAATTCAGTTCAATAATGGAAATATTATTCTGCCTGTGTACTTTGCATTAGATTTTCACCATTACTAGAATAAATGGTGTGTGGTCAGAAACAAATAATGAAAAAACATACGTTCCTCGTTAATGGGCACATTATTAAGATGCACTGTTCAGATTACCAGGCAGAGAACAAATTCTCATATTCTCTCACTATGGAGTTATAACACATCCTTGAATTAGCTTCCTGTTTTAAGTGGCCGATTTCTCTTTGCCCTGAAATGAAGAAAGATTGAGGGTAAAGAATCTGAAGCTCACTTTGAAGCAAAAAAAATAATTCTGAGATCTGCTTTGACTAGTTCCCCTGCAAACGTAGATGTGGTCTTAAATGTGAATCAAGACTGTAGACAGTGTGGCCCAGTTTTCTTACTGGCTTGAGAGGGCTTTGGGTGAAAGGTAGGATCTGATAGTATTTGGCGAGTGCTTTTGTATAAGGAGGCTGATGTCATTGTTCTGTCGTACAGCTTAATTCCTGGAGGCTTATCTTTTAAAGAAGGAGGAATTGCATCCATTGAAAGAAGTTGTTCATATCATGCTAGCCTGTCATTCCTCCACTGGCAGGAATAAAAAGGATGCATAATCAATGGAGAGTATTTTCTAAAGTTACCTTCTGAAACAACTGTTTGTTTGTGTTTTTAATGTCCTAGTTGTCTGGACCGACTGATTACAGCTACTTTGACAGCTACCCACCTGAAGAGGGAACCCCTCCAGATGAACTTTCAGGCTGGGACAAGGATTTCTGATATTTTTTTCTTCCAGGACATTTATAGAGAATTATAGACATCAATTCTAAACCTGCTGTCTTGTTTTGTGCTTAAAATCAAATCAAATAAGGTGTGTGACCAACACAGTGTTCCTTGAAGGATTGAAGACAGTACAGCAACCAGAACTTGTTTGGATAATGCACCAACATCTGTGTGCATCTCCTTACAACAAGGGCATTCATTCACCAGATGTAACCTGAAAGTTTTTTGATACACAATGTCTCTGTGAATATTTTCAGGCACTATGGATCGGATGTATGCTTTTTCCATTGGAAATGTCACTAGCTAATATTTTGATAGTAACAAGGTTGCCATGTGTCTTTATTTTGAATGGAGTGGATGAGTATTGGAAGCCAATAACTCTGTGGCATTTATCAACAGCTGACACTATAGGCATTTATTTTTCATTTTATCTTGTCATCTGTGTGTTTCACTTTTTCCCATAATGGCCAGTATCGCATTGATCCAGCAGTGTGTATAAAAGACACTTTTACTGAAAGGTTGATTTGATCTGATGCTGCAGCTAAAGGGTATCACTGTGGAAGCTGCCTCTCTGTCAGTTTAGTGTTGCACCAGGTTGAGTATGTGAGACAGGGTATAACAGGTCAAATGAAAATCTGGTAGGAAACAAGTTATATACATAATAGAAGTTGCCTGGAAAAGCAGACTGTAGTATGTATTTCTCTTCCTGCTTGAAAGAGTCGTGTCCATTTCTTAAAATGTTTTGCTTTTATGTAGTGTGAAGATAAAATAGATGGACAAAAGGCAGGAAAAAACCCATGTAAGTATAGAATCATATTTTTTCCTTCAAATATATTTTCAGGTTGTTTTCTTTGCTATTTTGCTGAAAAGCTACATTTGTTTACATCAGTGCTGAAACTCCCACCCATTTCAGTGTTCTAGTTGGTGTCAGTAGATGTGAACTGTCATTTCAAATCATGTTTCATCAGACACCTTAGTAACGTATAATTATTCTGAGCTCTACTCATAGGAAGGAAGAATGAGAGCAAAAGCTCGATTCTTTCTTTTTTCTTCTCTCGTAAGGAATTGTATTCCTGAATTGGTTTATATATTCTGTTTTCTTTTGACTGCCTTCCCTTCTCTCTAATGGCTACTAGTGAGGTTTAGAAAGGCAAGAAATTCCAAGCTCCTCTCAAAACCAGTGTAAAAATCTAATTATGATTTGTAGCCCAGTTTTTCAAGCTCTGTCTTCGCCTACTTTGGTACAAGCAAATAAATGGCTAACCAGAACCTGAGCCAAGGGAGTCCAGCAAACAGCTAAAATAGGAGGCTGGAGCACATGCTGTGTGCGAAAAGGCCGAGGGACCTGAGCTTGCTCGGCCTGGAGGGGGTTTTGCTTTGCCGGGACCTTGGGGCAGCCTGCCAGTGCCTGCAGGGAGGCTACCGAGAAGGCAGAGCCAGGCCCTTCATGAAGCTGCACGTGACGGAGGGGCCCGTAAATTGCAACAGAAGAGGTGCTGACCTGACAGGAGGGAAAAAGTGTTTCCGTAGTAAAGCAGGATCCCAGACAGGTTCTGCAATCTCATTCCTTGCTGTTTTTTAAGACGGGAGCAGACAGAACCTTGAGCAACCCAGTCTGAATTGAGTGTTCTCTCTGCTTTGAGCAGGAGGTTGGACTAGAGACCTCCCGAGGTCCCTTCCAGCCTGAGTGATTCTGAGATTCTAGGAATTAGTTTTATCTGTCAGCTATTTGTATAATCAAAATATAGCACAATGCATGTTCCTGTATGAGTTTATATATGCCTGGGTTTTGCTACTTAACCTTTAAATTGTTAGAACTGGGAAATTAGTTGGAAATGTTGACTGGATAATAAATGCAGTTGGATGTTATGCCTTCGTGGTTTACTCTGCTGTGAACCACAGCTGCTGTAGAACCAGGAATGTTCCTGCGTATCACACTGGGCTTATGGGATCGATGCATCTGCAACCTCTGCTAGGATTTGTTTCAGCTCCCACGGAGACAAAGTCCAATCTAAATTTTGATACTAAAGTTTTCTTATGAAGCAGTCAGCACATAGGTTTACGTGCAAAAGAGGTTCACAGGCTGGTCCTTGTAAAAGAAATACCATATTTTCATCATTTTTTCTATGATCGGGCTTTTAAAAAATTGAGATTTTCCAGTAAGATGTGGAGGAAATACACCAGAATGATTCATGACTGCTCTAAGTTCTCCTAGCTGTTTTTTAATATTTATCCTTCTCCTAGTTATGCAGTAGTCCCGATATGAACTTTTAAGACGTCATTGGCTTCCATCACTCGTGTAGAACAAGCTCTGAGAGCTGCTCACAAAGCCTGGCATCATTCCTCCCCAGGACAAGCCCCGTGACGCAAGTGCAGAGATGAAACGATCGCATTTCACCCGCCTTTACTCCGGACCTGCACAAACCTCAGGTAGGGACAGCTCGTCACTTCAGCCAGATGACAGCAAATGTCCTCATCTTCCAGTCGCTGTACTTCTCTGTCAAAAGAGAAATTTGGGGCCAGCCGGTGATGCTGACCTGATTAGAAAATAACTAGGTCATAGAGAAACAGAAGTTACGTACACTTGTCCGTAGAGAAGTTCTCCTTTTTTAGATACTTCTGTTCCTTATAACTTCATTTTCAGTTCTGGTATCACACTATTGGAGTGGACACACAAAAATTTTATTATTAGAATATCACCTCAAAGAAAAATCACATTTGTGAGAAAGCAGCTGATTGCCACAGCCCAGCTCTTTCACAGGTTCAAGTGCTTGAGCTGCTTGTTGCTTCCCTGCCCCTCTGCTTCTCACCAGTGATTTGCAGCAACCAGGGCGGAGTTTTGCTGTACCTACAAGATAATTGTCATCTCCAGCAGATGACAGCCACATTGCTTCCCACTAAAAAGTGAATACTCCAGAGACATGCACACCCAGGGTGCTGTTTTGCAACTACCTGCAGTTACCTGGCTGTAGGAGGGGGCTTGCTGGAAGACCTCAGCAAGCAGAAGTTCACAGCTAGCATGGGCATCTTGTACCTGTTGAGATCCCGTTATTTCACAGGTGCTCTAAACATCTGTGGGGAAAGGAATACCTTGTGCTTTGTTCAATAAGGAATGCCCGGATGCTCCCATCAAGTGTACCTTCTTGGCATTATTAAAATAATTCCAACTTCAAACTCAAGTCTGACTTGCTGAGCGTAAGGGATTGCAACCCCGCTGCTTCTCTCCCCCCGAAGCTGCCCTTTGTGTATTTTCTCCAACTCAGGAGTGCACTGTAAACTTACATCCCCAAGTAACTGAAGAGATCCTCTGTTACAGCTAAAACTTACTTAAAAAAAAAAAAAAAAAAAAGCTGCTACCCCAGTTTCTGGGCAACTGAAAGGGCCAGGCCTGTCCATGGAAACATCCTACCCACTTATTATGTTGTAAACTGAGACCACCAGCCTGCCCAATAGATTATGCATGTTTGTACACAGTGGACTGCTCTTATCCCTCCAGCCAGGAAAGACGGAAGTTCTGACTCTGCCTACAAACTGAAGAACTACACTGGCAATGCTACCTTACTAAAAGACGCGCAGGGAACTTTGCCATCTCTAACTCCAAGTGCAAAGCTGAAGACTAGTTAGGTGATAGACATTTGCAGCGAAAACTAGCTCTGGGCTTCCACAGATGTAGCACAGGGCAGTGACAAACCCAGCGCAACTACCTTTCTCCACTATTCCTAAGCAAGGCAGCATGATGAAAGCATCGTTTGACAAAGGTGACTCCTGGCTGAGAAATTGCAAATTCCAATTTACAAGACTAAAACCCCAAGGTCACTAGAAAACGTTCCTCATTGCTCACAAGAGCTAACATGGAGAACCGTTTGCGCTTTATTTCCCATACATCTGGAAACCAAACAGCTCAGCTAATAAAACACGTCATTGCTCAAGCAGCGAGAAAGCAAAGCTGTGCAGTGATACCAGCACTGCACCGAGAGAAAGCCAATAGCTCTTCCATCATATTTGTCAGGGAAGTATTCAGATGCCCACTTACACATGACTTCAAAACAAAGCTTCATTTTTCTAAGACAAGCAGCTAACCAAATTCAATACCTGTTACTCGCTCTCCTTGCTAAGCTGGGTGTAGCCTTACCACCCACCTGAGCAGGAGTTGTTGCACAACCTGTCCCTACCCCCAAACCCAAGCCAAAAATGGTATTCGGGGCATTATCCAGCTGCAGCTTGAGAAACAAAATGTTACCTAGGGAAATCCCTTCAGTAAGTCTCTGCAGCAGAGCTGAGCCTCTCTCCGTAAATCCATGCACAGTCGAGGGTGCTCAGGGACACAGCAAATAATGATGAACAGGAGTTGCTTCCACAACCCAGTGTCACTGCACCTACCAGCATGTGCCGGACAAGCCTAGAATGGAAGGGAAGCTGGACAAAACTATGAGCTTCACAACACGTCATGGGTGAAAGAACAGAGACTAGGGACAAAAATAACATTCCTGTAG